GTCTAGTAGCTACTTCAAACTATCGCCAGTCATGAAAAGATCCGGTCAAATGACACGAGTTTAGATCTATGAACAAGGCACGAAAAGGAAAAGAATCGGCGACAGGCCACTTCAGGCCTACAATTCAGCGCCGACATCACTATGTTATGTTATGTAGAGAATAGTTGTTTAGTGTGAGACTATTCTGTTCTGTCGCCTCATTCTGCACGGCTTTGCTGCTGACTTGTGATGAATTCATTGTGTAATTTGTGTTTGTGTTGAAATATATAGAGCAATCTCAAGATATTGACCACCTCTAAGCCTAACATCTAATCACACGATTTCAGGTATCGTAGTTGTTTTTTCAAGTTACTCGCACTGACTCACTGAGTACGTATAATTTTAGAATTTTGAATGCATTTCAATAGATAAATTACGCTTTGTTTGATTCACACTTTGCCGTGGCGAGCGCAGGCCTGCGTCTGGCTGCTCTACACTCATAGACTTGGGCAGACGCGTCACGAAGCAAAGGGTGCTTGGGCCGCTGAGCTGATCCCTCAGAAATTATGTCGATGATATTTAATTTACATAGTATAAATTTTTTCACGAAAGTCTAATTGTCGCTAGATCGTATATAAGTACCTACTTCTATTATCAATCTGCTTATATCGCAAGTTCACAAGAAATTTAAATAACAAAAAACGCCAAGCAAATTCAGCATATCGATGTTGAAAACGTTGCGGAGATATATCAAAGTACAAAGATTGTAATTCAGACCAATAATTTCCTCATAATGACAGCGGTATTGGCATGAAGTGCCTCAATGTTTGTAGCCTGCTAGGCAGCCCACAAAGAGGATATGGGTGGGGAGGACACCCTCCTCACCCACCTCATGTCTGACAACCCTCCTCTCTCGTCTAAGATGTGCTGGTGTCTCACTGTAATATGAGCTTAGACTTCAAGCCAAATAGGCTGGCTGTTTTCGCGCAGTTACATGCTCATCTTCATCATATAAATACATCACATTCAAAACCTAAATAATTTCGATGATATTTAATTCATAGAGTACAAATTTCTGAACGAAAAACATATTGTCACTAGACTATTAATTATTTTCTCTTTATATAGGTACGTTGAGGGAAAGTTACAGAAATGCGACGAAATGTTAACTTTTACTGTTAATCAAGATTTATCAATCTACAGAGACAGTAATTCAGACTGTACAGAGACTAAAAGTTTACTTACAGAGACAGCGATAAGCGCCGGCGCTTACATAACAAAAGCGAAGTGTCCGTCTCCTTGGAGAGTGAGACAGAAGAGGGAAGTTGGTAACCGCAGTAGGGTTTTTGAGAGGGGGAGGGAGGGAAGGTGAAAATTGTTAGGCTCTTTGTTCTCATATGGTCGTGGCTCGCTCGACTGAATACACAATGACCCGTACAACGAATATTCAATATCTATTCAATATTCAACATCATCGTTGATAATGCAAGGTAACATGTTTTTAAGTAAAAATTTTTAAGCTGCGCTTCCATTCGCTTGAGCCAAAACATCGGTTCATATTCAACGACAATTATATGCATATCTTCTGGTATCCAGGTCGCTATCTGGATCTGGTCGCTATATGTATATCTTCTGGTATCCAACGAACTAACAATGGAGTGCTGTAATAAACGTGCTAGCCCTTTAACACAGGGCCATAGAAGGGAACAGGGGAGGGTGAGCAGTGCAGCCTGTCTACCTCCATGCGAGGTGGGGTAGAGGATGTCTTTCCCTCTACCCTCTATCCCCTTCCCCTCTTCCCATCTTTGGGGTAGACAAGGGTAGCCACTTCAAGCCAGAGATTTATGAGCGTACGACACTTTCAACGTGCTCAGCGCCAGCATCCAATGAAAATGTGAAAAGTCCTGTTTAGCAGTGATGAAAACATTTCTTGGTTGTGAATATTTACAAAATGGATGTTGATTCTGACATGTATTTAGTAACATCAGATAGCGAATAAATAGTACTACACGTTAACGTCTCAAAAATTTCGATAAGACGCCGGTTTAATTAACATCGAGGTACAAAATTATCATCTATCATAACTGGTGTTATACAAAGCTTACATATTTTTTTGTTCCTTTACACGGATTGTAAATAAATACCTAGATAAGTATGGAAAATTTCAGATCGTCATCTCATTTACGAGTGGAGTAAAGTTCACCCTAATTAGTGAAGAACTGCTTAGGAACCTGTCCGGGACCTCGCGGCTCTCAAGCACCACCTTAAAACTGCACACATTAATTCATATTCTTTAATTTATTTTCCACTGTTGCCTTGCACTGTTATAACGCATTGCTAAATGATTTTGTGGTGAAACGGTTGCTCAGCCTCAGGCATTTCTGAGTCGTACCTGCCAGCGTCTTCGTAACAAAAATATTTAATATGCTTTATTTGCTGTCTATTGTCCCGCCTCTCATACATGTATTTTGCTCCCCAACATTGATAAGTGGCCCACTCTTAGATAGGTGATAGGTCTAGCCGAGGACAATTTCACCCTCCATACGGACGGGAGAAATTATTTCTCGTGATGTATATTCAACTTCAATACTAATGAAAGCTTGTGATTTTAATTGAATGCTTATGAAAAAGTATGCAAGAAAAACAGTTACGCTTGTCATGATTGAATATAAGAAACCTTTTCTCCCAGACTTAGTTACGTACTATCAAAATTAGCATAAGTACGCGCAGCGGCCTAAGCACACGAAGTGGCTAAAGTGCACGTAGCGGCCGTTTTCTCGTCCGTGATTGGTGGGTTTAGCTTGAAAAGCCGTCGGTGACTGGCTGACGGAGTTACGACGTTGAAATAATATATAATAATGCGGCCCAAGATCGTGACCGCGAGCTTGACATCCGCAGCACAAGTAGGCAACGCGTCCAGCATCCAAATGACAGCCTGGGAACACAAATAAAAATACTTGAACGTGTCATGGACGTTAAGTTCCTTAGCTTCCTGTCATGTCATTAGAGTTTAGTCCAGTAATCGTTCGTCGTCTTTCATTATTCCAATTATTGAGGCAAATGGATAATTACATTTTACGTGCTGCATGGTCGCGAGTCTTCACCGATTTGGACTCTAGTTTCGTCTTCATCTTTATCGTTTATATAACTACGAGTCTTCTAATGTAACGATAATAATGGACTGGACGATTAAATTCAAAGAAGTATGAAAAAGATCTTAAAAAGATATTTTTAAGATATTGTAATTTCTTTTTTAATTAAAAAATATTTAAAAGGTTCTAATTAAAAAAAATAATTTAAATATCTTAGAACTATTTGATGCAAATATGATCCTACAAATTTAAAGCACATCAGCAAACTTGGATTTTAATTTTGGTTTGCCATGATAATATGCATCATAATGATTCAGGATATAATAATAATATTCGAGTTATAACATATGCATCGATTATATTTTTATCTCATTTCAGAGAGCTGATCAGTGCAAGGTGATAAACATGCACTGATGTAACTGTATCACGCCACAGTATTTTATCGTAGATGTGCAGACATCTTATCTGCATAAACAATGGTTAAAGCTTGTGTCTGGTGGGTTTGTTGTAAACCGCTTAGTGATGATTGAAACGCTACCAAAGTTTGTGCGTTATTTGAGTGTTTTATTTTCATACAAATTAAAAACACGAAAGTGGAAGAGTCGTAACTCCACGAATTACCTTTTACGTGCAGTATAATATTGTAGATACTGTATCAATGTTGAGTATTAGATCAGTCGTCAACCATGGCAAGAACTCGCCATCCAAAATGACACTTTTGAGTTCCCATTCCTGCGTGATATATGCGGTTGGTTTCTATTCAAATGACCAACGACTAATTTATGACAATAATTCACTGACAGGATTTTAAAAACAACTGCTTTCAATAATTTTTGTATTGTCAATGAAGTTACACGAGGAAATCGATTTCATCTTTTGGATTCTGAACCGCAAAAATGTCTGACTGATTCGTTGCTCCGGCAATTTCTTCCGGTAAATATCAGTAAATGATTAAATCGCATATTTTTGTATCATGGCTCGGAGAAGCGTAGAAACAGTTATTTATTATTATATATTTACTCAACATCTTACGACGGGCTCAACATTTCAACAACATCATTTTATCCACTTTCATCGACACTTGACGGGCCAGAATATAAGTTCGTGTTAGTGCTGTTGACTGCAACGCGTCAGGCGCGCCTACAACTAGCAAGTATAAAAGGAAATCTTGAACCGAGTTGCTGGATGCCCATTTAGCATTCAGTCGTCGCGTGTAGTAGGTCTGTTTCGGATGACGTAAACGCGTTGCGCGAAAGGACCGTGCACACGGATGTATGTCAGTGAAGGCATGAAGTCATGATTTGGGTTCTTTAAGGCAATGTCGTAGTTTATAAAGGACACTAAATACAAGTGTTGTTGTATGTGGTATAATTTTATGTCGTAGTTTAATTTAGGACAAATTAACAATAGGTTATAGTGACAGTACGGATGGACTGCACAATGCACATGATGCCTGACGCTTTGCGGAAGATTACTTACTGTCTCTCATATCGGCTGTGATTGTACATTCCTGGATAATAGAAGCTCGACTTTGATTTGATAAGGGATCTGTGTCGGAGGGAAACTCTTAACTTTGGGACTGTGCAAGTCAACTATTCCTAGAATGAAAAAAGATGACTGTGTTCAACCAAGGTCGTATTTGCTAGGTTGACGTGTGTTTCACGTTGAATAGGTCTGATCTCCTAAAAGTGTTCCTTCTCGAAAGAATTTGAATAAAAGTTATCCGGTTTTATATGAACTGCTTTCTGTAATTTTTGAAGGTCTTGATCGTGTTCTGCCTCGCCCTGATGATTCGAAATGTATAAATCCTACTTTGTTTTGACTGTTGAGAGGTGGAAGGACGTAATTTTAACAAGTTATTCTAGTGAGGTAACCTCGTGGCACCGTGGCAAAGCCAGCGCCGTCTTTAATCGAGTATCAATATTGAATGGTTTATTCGTTTGTGAACCTGCATCTTTATGGTCTTAATGGACGAATGTGGTTTCTATGTTATTCAAACTAATCCTCTGAACTCGTGAATGGTTGTTAATGTGTCAATTCGCTTCTGTCCTGAAAATTAAAATGCGCTATTAAACATTCTGAGCGTCTAAAAATGAAATCCTGTACTATTATGTGGTCGCTGTCCAACTAATGGACTTCTCCACTAGTTGTGAATAGTTGATTCTTGAAGTCTTGACTTTAATGCAACTAATTTCAGGCAGTGAGGTGAATGACCACGAGTGAATTTCTTGACTTGAAAGTATAAAAATGTTTAGAGATGAGAATTCCAAGCCAGTTATTGTAGCATCCCGTTGCTATCGGGCAATATGTGGTTAACCGTGCCCCTTATAACTAAGATTTTATAATCTCGCTTTGCCTAAAGTCTGTCCGTCTCATTTTCAACCGCATTTGCAATTGGTAAATATGCCCTTCGTCGATAGCTATATTCAGTATTCCATATCTGTAAAACTAATATTATAGAATATGCATTTTCCAGAGCACCATCCAATAGCGAACGAAGCATTAAGTTCATTTCTACAGCAGTAGACACGTACGTCATCACCAAACAGGTATGTAGCGCCTTGAAATTGAGCGGAATTGATATAGGATAGAATACATACTGAACTGAAATTACGCATTTTGATGTAAAGACTCTGAAAATTTTAAATACAGTTCAGAAATGCCTGAATTACGTCACCAGTTCTGCATTAGAAATTTACTGCACATCTGCCATTAACGTAGATTTGTTTTTTTTTCTGGATGTCCATTCGCTTGCATGGCCGTTGAGGTTTAGTCTGATGAAACTTGCAATTTCAGAGGCATTGCTCTCTAAGCGTTAGCATCTTCCTACCTTCAATTGTTAGTCGCACGGCTACCTATAATGCTCCAGGCTCAATGTATTTTTTGGCTGCTCGATTAAACTTGCGTGTGAGTTGTGCTAAAAGTAGGTTGCCATTATAACTTTAGTAGCAGGAGCCAAAAATTCGACTATAGATTAATGGAACTACTGCCAAACGACTTATTGTATATTTATTTACTTTGCATTGTTTCTGAACGTGCAAAAATTCATGTACCTCAACCTCGTTGCCCAGAGATGTCCGGCAGAGGCGGTGGTCAGATGGTTCGCTCGTCAGGACGTGATGGTGGTCAGATGGTGCGGTACTCGAGCGGTGCGGTCCAGTGCCACAGAGGTACTGCGGTCCAGACCCACACAGAGGTCCGCACGTCATACGGGCCTGGTAACACGTCCTCAACATCATCGAAGACGGTCACCATCCGGGAGCGTCCATCTGGGGTCTCGACTACGATCAAATCTGTGCAAACGCACTTCGTACCTCACAAGTAGATGCCCAGTTTTGCTTAATAGTTCATAATGTTGCTAAAGTGATGCATTGGTGAAGAGGCCAATCTTGTAGCTAAGTTTAACAAACCTTCACATATACGATGCAAATTTTGAATTCACCTTCATATTCCTGCATTCCGATACGGTTTTCCTCAAGCTTATCTTCTCGGATAGTCCAGCCATTGCATACTCCGGGAATTGCTAGTTGGTATCGAAAATTCTTCTCTTACTTCCTTGTCACGATTTTAAGCCCGCTATAGTGTTAGCGTAACTTTGAAAACTGGGAATGTTCTCATTTAATTGGTTTAAGATATAATTAATAAAATGTCCTCCAGTGTGGAGGAAGTTGACATTTTTCTTCACCCGACACCACTATGAAGACAGTGATTATTTTGTCTTGATAACGCCGTGAGCACGCATTTTATTCTGGATCTTGAGGTCCAAAATTAATCAGCTGCTTCGTGCCGTCAGGCAGCAAGAGAAAGAAGTTAGTCGAGAGTTCGATGAATCCTGAGATATTGCGTATACGACTGAATGATTACCATAATGAATACGCTCTTGCGTTTTGAGAAACGCATTTGTTGCTTAACTGTCTCGTCGACGAACCATAGGATTCCATTAGCCACAATATGATAGAAGCTCGATTAGAATTTACTTTACTTCGTGCCACGTTCTTTTAGTTTCCAATAGTTGCTCGGTTAGAAATTAAAGCTTTAGTAACCGCATTGGGGTCGCATCCGATATTGTAAGAAGAGTGACGAGGGTACTCGTCAGGGGGCTGACTGTTGGCCCCCAGCATGTAAACGGCTGCTCCTGCAGGAAATTTATTGAATGCGATCAAAGGACGGCAACGTGGAAACAAGTGAGAATTTATCGCAATTTCTTGAATTTACAGAGATTTTATAGGGAAGCACTCCTTGGTAGGAGTCTTTTAGGACTGTGAAATACCAGAATTATTTAGAACAAATTGACTTGTATTTAAATTGAAGTTTGAATTCAGGCCGTCGTGCGGGTTGCGGAGAGTTAGTTCTCACTTATAACGGTAAATTAGTAAGCATCTCGTTGGAATTGTTAAGATTTGCGTACCGCCGGCCCTGGCGGTTTACGACATGAACTCGTTACCGTGTCACATGAAGAGGTTCCAGAACTTCACCTTGGTCTTCATATGCTCAGTAATCATAGTCTATACTACTTGCACCAGGAGACCGGGGCCCGTTCAATACGGAATAATTATAAGTTTGGAATTCTATCGGCCAATCAGACGGCTTTAAAAGCCTAACCCACCCACCATTCACAGACGAGAAATCGGCTGCTATGGTATTCAAGTCGCGTCGAAAACTTAATGGTCTTTAAAAAGTTGCTCCATGTAGCTCGAGTTGGCCGGTGAGCAGAGAAATATAATACTTTTGAATACCAATTCGCCAACTTTCGAAGCACAGATGCCTAGTATAAATTCTAGTGCTTTGGAAAGGAGTGTTAAAGGTAGACTGTAGCATTCGTTCGCGAAACATAGTTATCATCGATTAACTGGAGATCTGATCTGCTCTTGCCAAAATACTCAATTCCATTTATGGGCAGGGTTGCCCAGTGGTTAAAGTTCAGAGTACAAGGATTAGAGCAGAGAGGTGCGAGTTCGCGGTCAGAATCGGCAAGGAGGACGGGCGGTTAAGCACAGCAGAATTGATGCAGTGAGTTGCGTGTGCAAGACCGCAAAATGCTGTGAAAGTTCAGAGATGTTAAGAATCGGCGACAGGCTACGACCTACTAAACGCTGAAACCGCTATTGTTATTTTATTATTTATCTTGCAGAACTCCCGCGGCTCCCCGTGGTTCTAAAAATGGCGTACATCACCACCACCATCATCATCACCACCACCACCATCACCAATCGTCAAGTAAAGACAAATTAATTTTTTCACATGTTTGTACTCGTTTCTTTTATTCAAACTCATTTGCAGCGTAATTAAAATTATGTATTATAGATAATTTACTATCGATCAATTAGGACTTGGAAAATTTATTAATATACAAATCCACCTTTCAGCGAGCAGCCCCAATTAAGAAGCCTACGGGGGGCAGCGGTGGGGGTCAACGGGGCGCTCGTGGAGGGGGCACGCGTGGGGGGTCCAGCACCTACAAGAACAATAAGAACGTGAAGGCAGTCAATGTGTACATGAAACTTTAGGAACGTAAAAGCAGTCAATGTGTACATGAAACTTTGGGAACGTGAAGGCAGTCAATGTGTACATGAAACTTTGGGAACGTGAAGGCAGTCAATGTATGCATGAAACTTTAGGAAAGTGAAGGCAGTCAATGTATGCATGAAACTTTACTAACGTGAAGGCCGTCAGTGTATACATGAAACTTTTTAACAATATTCTGACGTCACGCTTGTCTCCTGAAGAAAGCCAGCCTACAACCGCATTTACCTTTTCACGAAGAAATATCTGACCATCATCATCTCGGCGAGGTAGGAATGAATCTTCACTTTCCTTCACCAGGCAAAATCTACAATTTTATTCTTAATTTAAACTGTCTTAAGCTCCTTGGTATTATACGATGAGCAGCTATTTCTCAATAAACGGAATTCCGGCATTCTTCCTTGTATTAATTTGTTTTATCCTTTTAGTAATATAATTGAGAATACTTCAAGTAATTCTGGTACAAACATTCAACTAATGTTCAACTAATTAATGTTGTTTCTAATTCAGGTCGTGACTTGAAACATGCGTTCAATAAATAACATGATTTTACGATAATTATCATCTATGTATTTTCACAGTAATTGGCGGCTTAAATTACTATTGCAGTATCGACTACAGTGGCTGGCGGTGGTACATCAGTCATGTAATTTTGATCTTTAGACATGACGTATGGAATATTGACGAGCGTAAACGCTTGAGCTGAATGCAAGCTGGTAGTCTGGATTCATATTGATATCGTTCATACTCGATCAATCCGATCCCCGTCGTGCCAAACGAGATCAAGTCGTTCCATATTGGTAGTGAAAACAACGACAGAACGTTGATACCAATCGACATTCTCAGTTTCAGACAATGTCGCTAACTTGCTCTTCCCCGTTTCAGTGCGACTGAAGTAATTTTCGTATAAACTTTTCATCATATTCATCTGAAGTATGAGGTCATATCAATAATAAATTGATTTTTGTGAAAGCGATTATGATTTGCATTATAACACGTACAAAATGTGATGATAAACTGTGGGTATACCTCTCAAAAACATAAGTTTTTGAAAGTCGCATTTAAGGTTCTTATCAGCTTTATCTCATAGGATGACGCAACACTGATTAGTCATCAAATTGTAATAGCTACAAACGAGCTCATATCTCCATATTATACCGCGTGTTTTATAAACAAAATACCGCAACCTTTATTCAATATTCGCCAATAAATCTTAGCAATCTATGGGTTTTTGTGCCATTTAGGCACAAAATTGTGCCACTAAATGGCACAAAATCGTGTCATTTAGGTTATAAACTGAGTGGAATACTTCCGGAACTTTAATAGATATCATAAAACAGGTATTAGTTAGAGATTTAAATAAAATTTAAACCGCTTGACATTACTCACTATATGCACGCAACGAGTGACGAGTTTGAGCGACCGGCGCCGACCGCAAATTTCGTTCGGGTTGAATTGAAAATATTCGACAAAAGACAAACACTACTTGTGCATACGCGAATAAACATGCAAACAAGATAAAATTTTTGCACTTTGAAATCGCAAATTTCTTTCGGGTTGAATTGAAAACATTCAACTAAAGACAAACACTAACTTGAGCATACGCGAATAAACATGCGAACAGGTAAAATTTTTGCATTAATTTTATTTTATTTAGCAGTGGATAAATGGGAAGCGAATAAACCAATCGTTTAATCACAATCACGTTTCTTCGTCAATTGAGTGACCATAAGCAACTTTCGTCGATCATAACGCGTTCTGAACGGGTAACGAACGGCGCTTAGACAAGCGTGCAGGTATATAAGAAGCGCGGGCCTGAGTGATGCAAGACATTCACTTCACTTCAGTCGACTGGTACGCGGTAAGTGCCCTGCACTGCTTATTCATTCATCATGGGTTTTAAAAATTGATATTCAGATTTGAATGTATTTTAAGATTTAAGTTGAGCCTGAATGTGAATCAGGTAAATAATGAATTGGTTTTTGGGTACCTTCAGAATTTTTTGCACCAATGAATATGACTGAAATAGAATGTGAACAAATTTTGTCAAATGTTTTTTTTCGACTATGCCGTGCAAGACGCGCTGAGAAACTGCGTTCAAAAATAAGCAAGATATTTCGGCATAGGGGTTAAGAAGATTTGTGATTATCGATGAAAATAATATGTGTTACATTTTTCATCTCACAATCATACATAGTATCTCACAATCTGTCGCGCTCCTTCAGGCATACCTTCAGGCAAATGTCTTTACATTGTAGTAGGACCGGTTTTTGTTTCACAAGTCACAACAAATAACAAACAGTTTGACTTCACTGGTGAGTGTTTGTATGTCTTGAGCCTTATGACAGAATTCATTTTTCTTGCCTGCTAATGTAGTTTTTGGAGATTTGCAAGTCATAATGATGAAAAATTATGATTATGCATGAATAATAGTGTTACTGATATGGATTTATCGTCTAAGTTGTGAATAATATTGTTCCGTGACCGTGGATAGTTGGTTTTCTTTGCATTTCTTTCACGTTGCGTCATAGAAATATAATCATTTTACTCCTGCTGAAATATTAATAATTTTATGAAGACAGCAGTTTAGGCCTCAGCACAAAGTGCACCTGAGAGTACCCAGCACAAAGTGCAAAACAGTACCCCTGTAGATACTGTACGTTTCGTGCCTTGTTGAATACCACACAAAAAACGTGTGTTGTTTCCCTTCCAGATTGAAACTACATATGAATATTTTAGACGTATAGCACGCCATAGAATATTTTAGACATATAGCTCGACATAGAATATTTTAGACATATAGCTCGACATAGAATATTTTAGACATATAGCTCGACATAGAATATTTTAGACATATAGCTCGACATAGAATATTTTAGACATATAGCACCCCATAGAATATTTTAGACGTATAGCACGCCATAGAATATTTTAGACATAGCACGAATATGCCTCACATCAAGTAATAAATGGGTCCTCAGTTCTGTTAACGGCGGAATTGTGAGGTTAAAAAACTCGAAACTGCCTCAGCTCTGTCAACAGCGGAATTGTGAGACTTTTGTCATTCTTTCAGAATTCCATCATGGGTAGCAGCGGAAGTAAAGACGATGGCGGTTACGTAGAGCGGTCGTCGAGCAGCGCCGTCGATTGCTACGGGGGAAGTTCAGTCAAAACTCAAACTCACCTCAGTACTTCCTACGGTCCTGGCAACGCTTCGGTGACGAATGCAAAGACTGTCACCGTCAGGGAAAGTCCTGCTGGAGTCTCCACTACGTACAAGGATGTGCAGACACATTTCAGTCCCCATAAGTAGATTAGATAAACACATTTCAGGGATAAACACATCACATTTCAGAGATAAACACATCACATTTCAGAGATAAACACATCACATTTCAGAGATAAGCACATCACATTTCAGAGATAAAGCATAGCTTTATCTCTCATATGCACCGTAACTAACATTAAAATTGCGTCAGTGAGAATAGTAAGCAAGTTCATTAATAAAGTTTTTGAGGGAAGTGATGCAACTTGACGCCATATTTATTATTAGTCACGATGAAAACTGCGATTTGTTATTTATCTTGCCGTTGTGTATTGTTGTGTTACTCGTCACGAATATCATCGCGTGGCTTGACTCGATGATCACTCAACTTGGAGTTCCGTTTGAAACGAGAGTTCTGCAAATTTTGAGAGAAATTTTCCTAATAAAACTTCAATTTTATTTGCTGTGATTATGCGTATCCTTAGGATTATGAATTTAGTCCAGAAAATAGTCGTATTTTTCATGTTTATTATATCTGCACATTAATCCGGAGGGTAGAGTTTTTACTTTCGCAGTGATTCTATGCGTTTAATCAGAATTTGTCATTTGCTTTTTATCGGTAAACTTCGTAGGTCAGAAGACATAATGTGATCAGAAGACAATCAGTTTGTTGTTTCATTTACTTGCTCCGTGATTTGGTCGAAAATAAATTCTTTTGGACATGTGATTATTTTCCCGGTGACTCACGACAATTGTTCCTCAGCTTGAAAATTGATAACTTGACTTCGCAATGGCGCCACAGGCTTATAGAATAGAATAGAAGTGTCGGCGTTGAAGAAATAGGCCCATGGCCTGTTGCCGATTTTTGAACTTTTCGTGACTTGATTCACAAGGGATCCGGCCTTTGGAACCCGATCTTTCCATGATTCTTGTACTTTTCGTGACTTGATTCACCAGGGATCCGGCCTTTGGAACCCGATCTTTCCATAACTGACGATTGATGCTGCTGCTGCTGGATTGAGCTGCTGGACTTATTAGGCTTGAGTCTATCGAGATTCAAATGTATACGATTCGAAGCTGGATAACGACCCATCTGCTGTGCTTCAATGAAGCATGTGCTTGAAGCTCGTTTAAAATATATAGTTAGTTTTTAGTCGCCAAAATAGAAATGGCGGCTCATGAAAGGCAATTGCATTGACGCTGAAGCAACGTTACTATGGATCGTTAAATTGAGATAATTTTTTATCTGGTTACCTAATATAATTTGTTCTAATTTTCAATATATATGTCAACTTCATTAAATAACCTTTTGCACTGCGAGCAGGTGAGCTTGCAGCACGAAATTAATGCAAATTCAATTTGATTTTTGAAAGCCTTGCTTTCTATGAATTTCAAGTTAAATAATATGTCAAAATTTCAGCATGGGTCTTTCTGGCAGCGTGTAGAAGGAAGTGTCTCAAAGGCAGCGTGTGGAAAGGTGGCTCACGAGGGAGCGTGTAGGAGGAAGTGTCTCGAGGCAACGTGTAGGACGAAGTGTCTCAAGGCAGCGTGTAGGAGGAAATGTCTCGAGGCAGCGTGTAGGAGGATTGTCTCAAGGCAGCACGTAGAAGGGTGTGTTACGAGAGAGCATGTAGGAGGAATTGTCTCGAGGCAACGAGACTAATAATACCCCATACGGCCATACCCAGTGGTTACAGTTCAGAGTACCAAGATTGGAGCAGAGAGGTGCGGGTTCGATCCCAGCCCCGGGCGCCAGTTTCTGGTCAGAATCGGCGAGGAGGCCGGGCGGTTAAGCAAAGCAGAATTGTAGCAGTGAGTTCCGAGTTCGAGACCGCAAAATGCTGTGAATGTTCTGCGATGTAAAGAATCGGCGACAGGCCTACGGCCTAATAAACGCTGAAACCGTTATTATTATAATTATTATCATAATAGACTGCTACCACAATCCGGAATACCCCATACCTTTATAATAATTCTCTATCATTAGGCAATCCATAATTATGAATGTAGAAAATCGTATAGGTGATAGACTTTGGTATAATTGTACTATTATAATGCGAGATATATTAGGGTTATTATGTTAGGGCGGGAGCAAGCTCCTAACTCACACGAGTGCAGGTAATGAATAATGACAATGGTTATTAACGCGCTATAGGATTATATAAGTGTTTGTAATTATATGTCAGTGTAATAATAATTCATTGAATAAGGCGTAAATTACTTGTATATTACAGACCATATTATACAGAATGGGTTGCGTGCGATTTTATTTAAAATAAATGAAAATGACGATCACAATGTAAATGACTAAGACAATGAAAATGACGATGACAATGAAAATGACTATGAAGATGAAATGAAAATGACTATGAAAATTACTATGACTATGAAAATAACAATGACTATGAAAATGACAAATGAAAATAGCTATAACAATGAAAAAGACAGAAATGAAAATAACCATGACAACGAAAATGCTATGACAATGAAGCGGACTATGACAATGAATATGACTATAAAAATGAAAATGACTGTGACAATGAAAATGCTATGACAATTAAAATGACGATTACAATGAAAATGACTATGACTATGAAAATTATTATTACAATGGAATTGACTATGACTATGAAAATGACCATTACAATGGAAATTACTATTACAATGAAAATGACTATGACTATGACAATGAAAAATGAAAATTACTATGACGATGAAAATCCCTTTGACAATGAAAATGACTATGACAATGAAAATGACTATGAAAATGTCTATGACTATGAAAATGACTATGACAATGAAAATGACAATGGCAATGAAAAAGACTATGGTACTGACTATGACAATGAAAATAACTATAACAATGAAAATGACTATGACAATGAAAATGACGATGGCAATGAAAATAACTATAACAATGAAAATGACTATGACAATGAAAATGACGATGGCAATGAAAATGACGATGGCAATGAAAATGACGATGGCAATGAAAATGACGATGGCAATGAAAATGACGATGGCAATGAAAATGACTATGACAATGAAAATGACTATACAAATAATTATAATGGTTAAACCATGTTCCACGTGTCCGTCGCCAATGCAAGGAGGAAAATATTGTCAACCATGCCAACAAGTAACACATATTTGAGTAATGGCGAACAAGTAGAATTTTTTGCATAATTTTTCCCTGCAGCAATATAAAAAGTACGAGCATTGCCTCTAATGCGCACTTACATCAGACTTCATCGACATTTGATCGGCCTTGGGGTAATTTGATCGACCTTGGGGGAAGTCCATCACAGGAACAAAGGCAGGACGCGTTCTGAACGCCGTTGAGACGAGCGAGCGCGGGTATATAAAACAAGTGCAAGCGCAGGACGCTAGGACATTGCCTATCCAGTCGTCCTCTGGTAATCCTGTGGTGAGTATTATGATGTTTAATAATTTCAGTTTGAAATAATAGGCAATGCTCGTGTTGGAAATTCCTTTTTATGTTGTACTTGTGGGATGTGTGTTGAGATAATTTAGTTCTTTGTGTTTGAAATACTGCGTAGTAATTCTGTCGGTAATTGTTGCGCTAACGCTAAATGCATGTTCTGATGTTTTAATTATTTTTACTTGAAATAATCTCATGTTTTGAATTTATTCTCTCATGTTGTGAAGTTATGTTGTGATTTCGAGGTAATTGGTACGAAATAGTTTTCCATGCTTTAAGAATTTTATGTTCACCAGTAAAATAATAGAATGCGCAAGCGTTAATTTCCGGAGTAATATTTCTTTCTAGACTCTTGTGTATGTTACGCACGAAGCACTCGTGTAACTAGCTTTGAAATTGAAAAAAAATTGTAGCATTTTTATTGTAAGTAAAAGGTCTGTTGCGTTTGAGATAATATGATGGCCAAATCCTATGATAAAAATAAATATATATAAAAACAAATTTAACATATCATTCGAAAAAATCGATAAGTCATATTGACCAAATAACGACACATTTTTAGCACGTAGCAATGATATGTCACTTTGAGTGGCCAAATTGGGTCAGGGGCCATACTTTTAAAACTCGCTAAGAGAACGTAAGTACTTACGCACTATTTTCTTGTCTATTATTGGTGGATTTTGCTTGAAAGGCCGTCAATGATTGGCTGATGAACTTACGATCTCTTAACTGTTTTTGAACGTATAGACTCTAGTGTGTCACGACGCACAGTACATTATTGAGATTTGCCCTACTATAGCGACTTTCCCTATTCATGCATAAATGCCTTGAACTGTTTTTAGTTGGCAATGAGAAGTTCAACTATCACGTTTTCATACTGAATGCATTTAATAATGATTTATGAATTAATTTTCCAGATTTCCAGAGCCCCAACCGTACCCCTTTTTTTGGTATTATCAAAGTAACCTTTACATCAGCAGGTATGTGGTACAATACGTAAATAATTGTAATAGAATTACGAAGTTACGGAGTTTAAAATCGCTTGTTTTGTCGTAGTAACGCATTAAAAATACTACGCTCAATTTTGTTTAGTTTTCAGTCCATGCGTCAAGAAGTCAAGTGCAATACATCGTTAATGAACATCGTTACCCGGAATATATATAAAAAAGTATATATAAATACAAAAAACTATATATATATATATATAGCTCACTTTTGATGCGTAGTGGTGTTCCGTGATTGGCGCTTATCCACGGAACATAAGGCTATAAACCTGTTGAATAATTATTATACACGTATTTAAAATCAAATAATTGTATAATAACATTTATATCGCTCATCGAAACAATATGTGTACACTTTTCTGACCTCGACCTCGTGGTTCAGGTATGCCAGGTAACGACAGAAGTTTGGGTGATTTCACTACAAAGAGGGTTAAGGTGGTGAATGTGAATGTGAGGAAGGTGATCAAATGGAAGGGTCCTCGAACGGGACCGCCAAAACCCGCACTCCCAGCAGGCGCATCTAAGGCGGGCTTTGAAAAGCGTAACTGACCACGGTGAAGAAGGCAACCGTATCAGGAGCAGTTCTTCGGTGGTCTCCACCTCTTACAGGGCTGAGCAGACCAGTGCTCCAGTTCTCACCAGTAGATTGAATATTCAGTTTTATCACTAATATGATCGGCAACTTACTGAAAATTTTCTATAGAAATGAATTGTGATAACTTCATTGCTGCTGATGTTATTCGAAGATGTTTGCCATGCATTCCAACGTAGATTTGAATGTTCAACTTGGGGCTTCATATAAATGAAATAGTTCTAACACTACGAAATTATGTTCATTTTCCATCATTTTGAGCCGCTAAAACAGTTACGTATCTTTAATATGAAGAAAATTCTTCTCTAATGCAGGTCATATGTTTCTTCACTACTATATATCTTCACTTCTTTCGTGATTCGGTGAATAAATTTTTCCTTTTTAGGATGAGACTTTTTATTGTTACCTTTTCGGTTCCCGGTAGTTACACTCCTCGCTAGGGACAAAGCACAAACCCATCCCGTTCATGCCAGCAAGTTTACCATAACTAGATCTTTATACCAAATTAACTTATTTCATAGCCAATCACACACATATATCCAGTATTATGATTACGTCCTTCCTATGTTTGTCTCATAGAGATGGCGGTTTAGAACTGAACTAATATGAATTCACTTGATTTCTTCTTGTCTAGCTTAACAGTAGATCCAATTAATTTCCCATATCGGAAGTGTCGCGAAGAAGTATGCATTCTGAAGTGTCACATAGCTGCGTACGTGTATATAATGTATGTTAGCTGCCAGCACTTCCCTATAACACACTTTAATAGTCCTTCGTTTATATATACTAACCAAATACTAGTCACGTTAGATCATTACTATTGCAAATTGCTGGCGAGAAATCGTTGAGCATTGACAGTATCGCAGTTGCAGCGCTGACGGCTGACAACTCGTCCAAGAATTCCGATAAAACCTACCCATTAATCAAAATTATCAGTCATAAGATAGCATCATCAGTAACTTGAAAGAGGCAGTTGAATGCAAAATAGTAGAAAATAATACATTTTGATTACAAATATATCCGTCGAAACACAAATATTCAAATCTTCTTCAACATATAGATTTGTTGAATAAGGTGGGAAATATTAGAATAATGAACGGAATCATTTATTCGAACATTTGCAGTCATTGGCTAATGAAACACATCCGAACACATAACCCAAAAAAATGGGCTGTTCGTAACGATTACTGTGCAAACAAATGTACAGTACTGCGGTGACTGTTACAATAGTCCAAATACCCCATTTCTTATAATAGTTTATATCTCATATGATGAGGGAATCAATAAATTCGAATCCACTGACGTGTGATAGATAACACTTTGTTATCTATTAGACTATTATGTTTATAATATTGTACGGTCATATACTGTGAAACAGCTAAGGATTAGGTTTGGGTATAAGGGCAAGTGCTCTTAAATACTCACGAAAGTAGCTGATAAATAATGATTATTAACGTTCTGTAGAAATATTTTTGTTTGTATGTATTCAATTTATTAGGTACTTTATTAATTATTTTTCAGTTAGGCGTGGATAACTCGAATACGGCGAAGTTGGCGAACCCAGTAACCCTGAGTGCATTGAGTCCGATTTAAAACAATGCCTGAAGCGTGTGAACGTCGATAAAGCATTCTGGTTAGTACTGTCAACAACAATTAAAATGCCAACGAGTACCAAATTGTTTTCATTATGGAGCACGAGAAACAAAAGAATCGTAGTTACCGATTATTCATCAGCTTTTATCGACAATTGATCTATCAAGGACAACGTTCATCGACGAAACGCAGACTGAACGCGTTTTGAACTTCGTTCAGACGAGCCAGTGCAGGTATATAAGCAGCCCACGGGCGGGCCGAGAGGATATTCTCTGCCAACTCGTCCAACGACAAGCACGTGGTGAGTGTAATGATAATTCAATCTCGTGTACTTGAAAAACTGCAGAATAATCGCGTTTGTGATGTAAATTATGTTATCCTTACGGCTATAACTTGATAGTTTTATTGATGAATCGGCAATAACTTGATAGTTTTGCGTGCGTTTAGAATTAAATGTTCACTCTAAACGACTAGAATCGAATTTTTCTAGTGGTCACTCCTGCGAAAATCATCTTTATGACAATTTAATACGTTTTTCAGGGGTGGTTAGTGCATATAATATCGAGATTTGTCTTTCTCTCGACTGCCTTTAATCTTGAATGCCTCGATGCGTTTTTAGTACGCAATGAGATGCTTAATGGATAGTGGTAGTTTCATTCTCTGTTTTTTAGTTACGTACGAAAAATATTTATTAATGTTTGAATTTTCCAGATTCCCAGGCCTTAGCAGACGACGTTCTTTGGTGACTACTTATTAACAATAACCGTTATATAAGCAGGTAAGGAGCTTGAATGTAAATATTTGTGCTTGAATTACAAAGTAATGTAGACCAACATAGCTTGTCGTTTGGCTTTATTAAAGCTTAAGAAAATATTCCGCTAAATTTGTTTCTATCTGCAGTTATTTTATATATAGAAGTTAACCATAATGCGTCGATAGAATAATATAGGTAATAGACGATCTATATTAACACGATATTCAAGGAATTTAAAAGCAAAGAAAACGCCAAGTAAATTCAGTTGACAAGCTAGAAAATGAAAACAATCATTATAATTCAAAATCCAAAGTCATATATTAATACATAAAATTGACAAATGAAAGACAAATCAACCTTAAATCGAAAACAAGCCCTCACGGAACACAGTTTTCAATGTCGATATGGTGAATTTACTTGGCGTTTTCTTTGCTTTCAATCTCCTTGTTGACTTGCGTTTTAAGCAGACTGATTAAACAAGTACTTATACACGATATTCAAATCTTCACCGTTCTCGCGGATACAGCAATTTTTTTCATGGAAGACTTCTGAATAGGGAAACAATAGACACGAGAAGATAATCCTTACTTTAGAAGGGTTTTGTTGTAAGTTGTATTTATGCTTTAATAAACTTATTAGAATTTTTTTTAATATCAGATGGAAAACACAGTTTTAATGCGTAGTGATTGATTGATAAGTCAATATCGTGTTTATTATAAAGAAAAATAAGGCAGTAAACCTGGTAAATAATCACTACATAAAAATTAAGTTGATTATGCAATTATTCCAGGTATTTTTCATTGAATTACGCTATTCTGAACTCGATTTCGTGGTTCAGGGATGCCAGGCGGCGGTGGCAAAGGCGGCGGTGGTGGTGGCGGTAAAGGTGGTGGCGGCCAGGTGGCGCGGTCTTCAAGTGGCGCCGTCAAATGCCACGGCGGCGGCGCAGTCAAGTCCAGCACCCAAGTCCGCACGTCCTACGGCCCTGGCAATGCGTCCGTGACCACGGCCAAGACGGCCACCGTCAGGAGCGGTCCTGCTGGGGTCTCCACCACGTACAAGGCTGTGCAGACCAGCTTCAACCCCCACCATTAAATTGCCTGCTAGACCACACACCATTAAATTGTCTGCTAGACTATGCCTCTTCAGACCAGCTTCGTTCTACACTATTAGATTGTCACTTGGGCATTTCTTTCTACATTTTCGGCAACTAATTCAAAAGTTACTTCAGAAATGAATGCGTATCAACGTTTTCGCTGCGGCGTTGTAGAAACGGAAGCAATTAGTAGGTCGAAAAAATTTCTTCAATTTATTTTGCCTAAATTTGCATCCTCGATGACAACTTGTTGGTTTGTAGTTCATGTTGTCATGGATGTTACTTACCAATCATTCCGTAATTGAGTGAATTGCACAACTTGAGGCATCATATGGAAACAAAGATACAATAACTCCTGAATTATTTTCTTGTTATCATTTCAATTTTTTTACGTATCCCCAAAAGTAAGTTTCATAATATATCAAACGGATTTTTTGGTGTTTTATTTTAGCTCGCTTGATAATTATTGCAGTAAAAAAATTTCAACTTGCTGCTATCTTCATTACATTGGAGATGCGGTGGTGAATAAATTTTTCCTCTTAAAGATTATAACTTTCATTGTTACTCTCAGATTCTTTGTTGTTACGCTCGTCGGCCGGCACTTCACATGAGTCGTGCATTAGGGTACGCACACAGTGAAAGCAGGTTGCCAGCGTGCTGGTTACCTGCTCAGGTTGGCGCCTGAAACCATAGAATAAAGAAGCCTATTCGTACAGGTTTTCACTGTGAACACTTACATTATTATCCTATGTTCATTCTTGTGGCAGGTTGGAGCAGGTTGCCCGCGCGGGCAAATCTGCTTTCACTGTGTGCGTACCCTTAGTCGTCTACCAAGCGCTTGATTCATTCATTGATGTGGTTTATGTTTCCATGGAAGTCCCGATTTAGGTACTGCAATTGGTACCGGAGTTACATCACAGACTAGTTCAAGGTTGCCAGTGCCACCTCTTAACCAAATTAAATTTTAGTCGAGAAAGAAACGATTTGGTTTCATTGTATTTGATTTTACATTGGATCTTCGTTTTATCCGAATTGAAGAGTCATCAATGAAAAATGAATGTGGTCTCGTTGAAATACTTGAACGATTGCACGATTTTACATTAATGTTACGAAACTCGTCTTATCACTTGGTTTAAATAGAAAATCGTCCAGTTTTTCTAGCATTTTTGCCCGCTGTTGAATGGAGTGAATAGCTGTCGCGAAATTATCTGGAAGACATTTTAGTCTTCGCTGATCGAGGAAGTATCTTCTCTGAACAATAAAAGTCATCGGCCAATGATAACACGTCATCAATGCACTTGCAACGGTATTGCTTTTAGTTGATGAACAAACTTAAGCACCTAACTGCCCTTAGTTTGAATACAAGGGCTGTATTATCTATACTCGCTCAAGCACACATAGCGGCCGAGATTTCGACTGTCATCGAAGAGTTTTGCTGTAAAAGCTGACGTTGATTGGCTCACAAGGTTACTAACGCAATTTTTTATACAAACTCAAAGATTTGGGGTCTTTCTTTCCACATTTTTTCAGTAGCCGCCTCACTCACCAGTTGGCATCGTCAGGGGCTTGGACATCGAGAGGAAGACGCGTTCATTCAGAACTTTCTTTTATTAATAGGGATTAAAATACTAATTAATTTACTTATATTTAGAAAAAAACATATAAATTGCAGGAAGGTAAAAAACAAACTACCCGCAAAAAACACAAGGTAGGTCAATGTTATAAAATGTTGAAAAAGCTTCTGATTGAGTCAGAAGCTTGTCTCTATTTTAATTTAATTTTTTCAAGAGTTCACACTTCGTCAAATGTACAAATGTAGTAAATAATATCAATAACTCTACTGCTTTTTCAGTTTAACTGCCAATGTCTTAAAAAAATATTCAGTATTTCGTTATTTGTAATCCAGGGAGACCGAGGCTCGCATGTTTTTTTTCTTACGGAACCAAATACTAGAAAAGATCCAATGAATGTTTTCATCAATGCCAGTGACCTACGACGCCGCTTGCTGAGGGACTGCACTGATCTTAATTGCTCAACACCGAGATTATTCATCATTCATGCAGTTAATGCTGAACGTTCACGATTTAAATTATTTATGCAGTTGAAGGTGAACGTTCAAGAGGTACACTATTCAAGCTGTTAATGACGACCGTTCCAGGAGTCGCCCGACTGAGCGCCTTGAATGTCTCGAACGAACGCCTGTCGCTGTAGTGCACGAAAGGCATCCGGCACGACGCCACTGTGCAACGTCTGCAAGTTAAAAATATCTCATTATTGAAAGCATAGAACCTTGCTGCAAACAATCAATTTTCTCACGATATTTCATTTCGAGCGCAATTTACCGTAGGCAAAATTAGTAGGCTTAGTCAAGGGAAAATTTAACATGAATGTAGAAGAAAATAATACCGCCAGGCGCCTGACAGATGGTTTGTTATGCTTCATTCGTTATTTAAGTAACATTAAGTCTAGTATTTGAAAATGCTCAATTGTTGGTTGATTTTTGGGCAATTAATACAGTGATAGTTGGTTGCCGTTACCTACGTCACGTAACACAAATTTTGATGACATAATTGGATTTTCGTCTTCTGAAACAAGAGGCTTGAATGCCACTCAATCGACTCAAACAATAATTTTAATAAATATTTGCGCCGCATCATTACTGAATTTTTCGAAACATCCTGAATAACATCCTGAAATTAAACGAATTTCTCTCAATGCTTCATTTTAAGTAGCCTGCTCCGCTCTGGGTCTTCGCAGTTCGCCATTTGTGGCGAGTCAGCAAACGCGTCGGATCTGAGATACGAGACGGCAAATGCGAAGCTCACATTCGCTCCCGCGCTTCTTTTCAACGTCTACAAATTTTGGAGCGAGAAAGCTGATGAAAAGGAATCGAGTTGCTATAAAACTATCTTTCATAGATGATTTTACGAATTTTTTATTTTTATATCCAGGCTTCCTGATTGTAATCTAAACGAAACGGGAAAAATCAAATTATTCTCAAGTTATTTAATTTTGACGGAGTATTTTTTATAGTCACTGGTAGATTAATATCTTTAGTCTCTGGTAGCCTAGCTAGTTTAAACTTCATTTATTATAATCTTTCAATCCATGAGGCCTAATCTCTTTTAATTATTACAAGTCTTACCTATATAAACTTCATTTATAATAAAATTCAGAAAAAATGACAGGCATATAATGGGGTTCTGCTGAAGATCACTTCTGGTTGAATAATATTCAGTTTTACTCTCAACTAATAATTTAACTAAAGTATAAACTCACAAGTCTAAACTCCGTTTGAGGAACCTGAAGCACCGTGGGCAGTACAGATGCGGGCAGTGGCACACGAAGACGAAATTGTAGTCCTCGCGTTTCAGGAAATCGCTGTCCAGGCAGAAGTTGCACACGTGTCCGCCCTGGGCGCTAAAAAATTCATCGGCCGTTTCGTGTGCTTGGAATATGCTGTGCATACATTCTGGGAGAGGGACGCTGGAGTTGTGTTCGCGAATTAAAAACTTCTGCGGAGGAGATCGGTTATAATCTAATATGGCCGTCCTCATGGCGTGTGGTAACGGAGCTTCAGCAGGATCATGTGCAACTTTTTCCCGATTTAAGATTATAGACTTTGCGATGTATTTGAGTTTCGCAAGACAAACCGCGAGTCTTACTTCTAAAATTTTCAGATATCTTCTCTCAGCCTCGCACGCGACGTTGAATTTATTAGGCGTGTAGTATTCGATGGTTATGAACATCAGACCTTGGCGTATATAATGCACCTGCTCAAACAGATTTACGTCACCAGGTCGGTAACCTTTGTACGTCTCTCGAAACGTCGTGTGCAGAATTTTGCAAATCTTCTCTATGGCTACGAGGAGTTGGATGGCCTCTTGCCCCACCAGCATCTTGCGAATTTCCCATCTGCAGGATCTGAAGAAGACATCCGATGGATGTACCAAGGAGCACAGCAGCAGTAGCGAGCGCATCTGCATGGTATGGGGAAAGCAGGGTTAGTGGCAGGCAGCCTGGCGTCACAAGTGTCATAAACTAGGCAGCCTGGCGACACAAGTGTCATAAACGCTGCAGCCTGGCGACACAAGTGTCATAAACGCGGCAGCCTGGCGACACAAGTGTCATAAACGCTGCAGCCTGGCGACACAAGCGTCATAATCGTGGCAACCTGTGTCGCGGCAGTCTAGCGACACGAGTATACCATGTGTGCAAAGAGGCACATTAAGCTATAGGAATGGCATGATAGAATGTGACCCAGGCAGCACGCGTAAACAGTGTCACATTTTGTCGTCTTGCAGGTCAGGCAGTCGCGAGTCACGAACATATGCTCCTCACGCAGCCGTTCACAGACATACGAAACGTGGACGTCTGGTGTTCTTGGCTTGCAGACCTTCACTACGGATATTACTTTAAAAAATCCAGGGATTGTTAGATACAGTAATCCCTCGCCTACCCCGGGTGTCACGTTTCTGACCTCGGCCGCTGTAGGAGGAAATTCCACGACGAGGAATTGATCGACTGATAGTACTAAGTACTAAGATATAGATAATTATAATGAATTTTTTAATAAATTTTCATTGATTTAAGCGTTTACAAAACTCCTCACACTCCTACCGCCGACCGAGTTCCACAGGCTGTTTTATATCAGACTTATTCAGTAAATATCCGCGAATAATAATATTATTAAATATTCTCATAAATATCGTTGAAAACGCGATGAAGCTAAGCCGCTGATAATTGGTAAAGGTAGAAATAGTTAGGGATTGCTATAATTGTTATGGGACAAAATGTTTGAATATTAAACGGAGTTAATAATGTTAAACCAATATCGAAGCAAATAGCAGCCACTTTGTTGTTGTACTTCTTAGACATCTTAGTAATTTACGAATTAGGACGAGAAAGCGAAATCTCACGACACTGAACAAAGGCAGCTACGTATTTAATTGGTTTCACTTACTCAAACCAAATATGAATAGCCAAAAACTTCACACTTGACAATTGGGACATTGCAGATCGGAAAAATTAATTCAAAAGACTGAGTTACACTTGGTCGAGTTCAGTAAATACAAAGATTTTGCCATCTCATTCCAACCTTTCCACTATGCGCAATCGCTTGCATTCCACGAATTCCATCCGGTGCCACATTTTCCCAATAATGAAAATTGGCTCAGGATTCCAGCTATGGCCTTCAGTGGACAAGATTGGCGACCAGACATTCAAATGAAAGGCTCAAGAGGAACGCAGCCTCGGCCAATCTGACCAGCTTTTGACATAGACCAAGTACGATAACAGATACTGATAACTTTTCGAAATGTACAGGAAGATGTGACTGCGAATGAAATTTTAGTCAAAGACGTTGCAGAAGAAGAGGGAGATCGTCCTAAGCCTGTAATTTAGCATTCGACCATAAGTATGTGAGACAAATGGGAGTGAAAAAGTTACATTTGACTCGATTTATATGGATTCAATCAGGGCTGAGGCTCCATAATAGACTCCGCTTATAAGGACCCAATCAGGGTTAAGGTATCCCTGCCTTAGGGTACCCATGCACAGTGAAAGCAGGTTGCCAGCGTGCTGGTTACCTGCTTAGGCTGGCGCCTAAAATTGAAATAATAGGCCTGGCGCTGGCCTATTCGTACAGGTTTTCACTGTGAACACTTACATTATTATCCTATGTTCATTCTTGTGGCAGGTTGGATCAGGTTGCCCGCACGGGCAAACCTGCTTTCACTGTGTTTATAATTAAGCGGCAGTTCATCGCAGTTTAAACTAATACAAATAGACTCCGTTTTTTCACGTAAAGGACTAATTCTAATAAGCTGAGCACCTTTCTGCAATATTTTAATCCTATTTAATGCTGAATGTAGTTCATATATCTGAATTTAAAAGTTTCAAACCTGCATTTTAATGGTGGCTTGGGGAGAATCTGCCTGCACGACCACCGCATCCAGCGCAACAGCCATCGTCTCTGGGAGCTGCATCCTCGGGGTTGAGCCTCGGTATCTTAATTTGCACAGCTTTCGCGATAAAGTATGCAAGAATACCTAAAATTTGTATATAATTTAAAAGATAATCACTTACGTATAGTGTAATTTGATGTTGATACCGGGCTGAGCAATTGTCAATTTTATATCTGTGATAAATAAGAAAATTCTTCGAAAGATGCAAGTATAACTGATCAAAATAAATCTCGCAGAAGGCAATTGTTGAACGAAATATCGCTTAAATAGAATCACAGAAGCAAAGAACCCGAAGTCACTATATCAGGCGCTGCAACATTAAGAACTTCTGTGGCAGCATCCTCAGCACTTTCGAGCCGCACTTTATTTACTGCCAAAAACTTGGGGCCGGCCAAGATTGCGACAGGTCGAAGACCTCTAGACCTCAGAGAACACTCAGAAAATTTAACGGATAATATGGTCCAAAAATAAAAGATTCAATGCACTTAGCACTACAACTTGCTTTTTTCGTGCTAAACTTAGGATGACCCACGCAAGGACAAAAATTGTATCGCTATTTGGGTAAAGTTGCCGGTTCAACCCCGGCGATGTCACAGATCGTATTAAAATCGGCGAAATGGCCAGGTGCCTGAATGTAGCAAGATTGAAACAGTGAGCCGCGGGTTCGAAAACCCATTGAGCTATAAGAATTCTGTAATCTCTAGAATTTGTAGCAGGCCATATATTAGGTCTAATGAACGCTGACACCCATACCGCGATAACTAATAACGGCACAAACTTCGCTACTCAAGTTTAAAACGACACAAATTTTGGGGGGTTTGCCCAACTCAAAATTAAAAAAAAAATTGGATTCACCGCGTGACTTAGTTAAGGAAAGCAGGATGGCAAGTTCACAGAGTAAACTTTTTAACTTAAACTGAATGGAAAACACGTCATCAGGGAGCATTATTCGGGTATCGAAAGTCACACGGCCGTCATTAATGTCATCATCAAATAAGAACAATTTGTCCTAAAAGATACTGACCTAAACTTCGTGTGAAGCTTAGAAAAACCTAGCCACTTTTTGCATTACTTGAAAACAAAATAAAATCATTTCTCACCAGTACTAAACATGCGCCGTGATTCAAATGCAACGGCGAGACCGTTGTCGTTGCCGGATAGTCGAATCCAGGATACCGTCCGCTAACACGGATACTAAAATGGTTGCTGGTTTATAATAGAATAGAATAGAATAGAAGTGTCGGCGTTGAAGACATAGGCCCATGGCCTGTTGCCGATTCTTGAACTTTTCGTGACTTGATTCACAAGGGATCCGGTCTTTGGAACCCGATCTTTCCATAACTGACGATTGATTGAGATAGCTGCTGGACTTATTGCCTGCTCCGTAATTTGCTAGGCATTTTAAGACTGAACATATGCTCCTGCATAGCTTCGTCTAGTCTGTTTTTGAAGATGTTCATACTTGGAGCTTCAACGATGCTATCAGGGAGGCTGTTCCACATGTCGGTGACTCGAAGCGAGAAGAAATGTTGTCGCATGGATGTGTTCCAACGCTGTTTTTTTAGTTTATAGCCGTGGCCCCTGGTGTTGGTTCTTGTTTCAAATTCTAGTAATCCTTCTGACACCTTGTATAAGCCATGAGTATATTTGTATACTTCAATGAGGTCCCCACGCAGACGTCGATAATGGAGGCTTGGAAGCTTCATAATCTTTAATCTTTCCTCATAGGACTTGCCTTTCAAGCCCGGAACTATCCTTGTTGCGCGTCTTTGAACACTCTCTACTAAATTTTTGTCCTTTTCAAATTTGAAATTAATGAATGGATACCAAATGGTATATAACCAGTAACCATAACCACGGATACCAAATGGTTTATAATGAAGTGAAACTTCATTATAAAGGATTTAGCATTGACAGCGATCAGATTTTGGATTTTTTCAGTAGACTTTATAAACTAAACTCAATGGATCGCAAATTTGAGACGTTATTTTTTGAATGCAGAAGATTGTAGCGTTCGTGACTAAATACCTGAACGCAGTGTGTCGTAAATTTCGGTAATGGCCCGGATAGACAAATAGGGCAACATGGGGCAGCGCGCCCCCCACTTTTTTTAAACTAAATTTTTTATTAAGTTTTAACTGATACGAGGTGGTTCTTTGTTTTGTTTAAAGGTGCAACTAATGAGGAATGTATGATGTGAATTAGGCGCCTATGGCGTTATTCAATTTTTAATGAAACACTATTTTGTAAAAAGTGTCAAAATGGGCCGATTGCCCCCCCTTTGGGGCAATGGGCCCATTGGCTTGGGGCAAGGCGTCCACCCTTGGACCATTTACCACAATTGCATAATTTTCGTTTAAAAATGATAAAATAACACTTTACAGTTAGAAATAAGAAAAAATGTATTAAAAAATATGACATTCATTAATTTATTAACAATTCAAAAAATCATATCCTTAACATGAAAAAAATATACCCTTGGGTTAAAAAATCTATCACTGACGTGAAAAAAAATATTTCATTGACATAAAAATATATATCCTTGACTTGAAAAATATATTCTTGCGACAAAAAATTCGTCCTGACATGAAAAAATGTATTCTTGACTAGAAAAAATATATTTAGTTGATCAGAAAAAAACTATGTTCCAGTTTTGCCCATAATCCAGATATTATGTGCAGAGAATTCGTACCTAATCGTGATTTCAGCTAACACCATAAAAACTCATCAACTTTTGGCTCATTGGTGTTGACTGAAATCAACTTTTGGCAAGGCAAGAGTCAGTAACTCGATGAGGGGTCATAAATACGCATAACTAGAAACTAAACCTGCTGCCTTGAGGCGGCAAATCGAAAAATCATGCAATATGAAGTGTGATTGGTAATTCAAAAGCTAGTCATAGTTTTGAAAAGGTCATTGAGACAAATCTAATGATGTATAACACAAGACTTCCCCATGGGCGCTTTGCCCCGTGACACACGTGGGCCCGTTGCCCCCACTAGGTATCATTTCAATTTATATCGTGTCAACATTTTATTTAAAAAGCTAATATTCTAAACTTGATCTCAAAATTATCCCTATAAATATTACTTTCAAAATATAATTCACAGTAATTTCACAAGCTTCATCTATAGTATTCGAAAACAGTTTTATTTAGCAGCAAAAAAAAACCTTTATCTGGGCTGAAACAGTTATCCACAAATATCTTAATAACGCAAACACTTAGCAAAACGTAAATCCGTACACTTCATCCCAGTGAAACTGTCGACCGGCGGTAGAGAACACGGACCAATATCTGCAATACCTAGCGAGAAACCCGCTATGGGCCCATGACCCGCAGTGGGCTCGCTGCCCCATGTTACCCTATCAATGGCGGTCAATATGAAAAACGCCAATTTTTTTAAACCAAGATAAAGGAGGATAATAAAATTTTCGTTGTCAATTAACTTTCAAAATAAAAATTCTTTAATGAAGACTCGATCAGAGTTATTAAATGTTCATCTTCAAATATCGTACATCGAGTAGAATTTTCGATTTTAAGTGAGGTTTTAGGAAGACGACTCAAACGAAATGAATGGTATATTTTTGCATGCGTCTCGCAAATTCATATTCTTTGCGTAAATTATTATCGTTTGTGTTGTATTACCACCAAAAACACAGAGGACGACCCCACACCAACCTACCCTACAATTAAGAGTCTTCACGCCAGCTTCCATCGCCATTATTAGTCTCAACTCCATTTAAACTTACAAAATAAACGACATTTGACATCCCAATTAGTGGTCCCCCAAGGGATATATGTTACACAGCTTTTCTCGGGATCAAAGGGCTGCTAAAGAGGTCAGATATCAGGATCATATTCTTATCTTCCTACAAATATAAATCGGCGACGATCCGTTTACATCAACCTGCCCCTGCTTCATGTACAAAACGGTACGTAAGATTTATATCGTACTGAACACTATACATCGGAGAAGCAGTGGTACCGTTTCTCTGTTTATATATCATCCTGTGGTCATCAAAGATATAGTTATATTTGATTATAACACAATAATTCGAGAGCAACTTCGCTTTCTTCATAGATTTTTTTATGAGAAGGGTAGAGGCAGATATCATTTATAGTTTACTATGCCATGGGCTATTGATGGCTTTAAAATGCGTGAACTCCAGATATAAAATATATCACATTTATTCACTTCTGAACGATCTATCTTTTATACGCACAAAAAATAAACTTTGTTTTATCTTATTTAAACATAATAACAATTTCAGATCAAAGCTAAGCCACATAAATGGAGTAATTAACACCATCTGCAACATAAGCCACAGTCAAGGACGGCAGCAAATCGCACAGGCGAAGCTCGCGCTCATCACGAGCTAATCACTGGAAAGATTTCCTGCACTCAGAGGAATGAGTGAGAGTTTGTCCGCATATCGATAGACTTATGGCACTTTCACAGGTAATCCTTACCGAGTTTGACCCGCAGATAGGTGAACCAGTGCTACGTCCATTCCCATCTCATGTTGTGAGTGTGAAAGTGAGTCACTATTAGGACACAATTAGGATATTCATATATCTCTCATCTTGTTGTAGATGCGCTATACTCTCGTCTTTTGTTGTCCACGTTCACGCATGACTATTAGAATGCAATGCATTCACTACCGTTCTTTTTTAATGCTTAACTTCTGGAGTGATCACTGAAGTGCGCACTGTGACCTGTTTTGATTTGCTAATGTGTATCTGAGTACCAGTATTTCATTTAATTCATTGTACGTCATGCTCAACTCATTGTGCTTGCTCACAAATTACCGCAATGCTATGTTTAGTTCATCTCGTTCAGAGTGGTGGGTTAGTTCCGTGATTTACTCAGTAGTTCACCTGGTTGGAATACCAAGATATAAAACTATAGTACGCAAGTAACTTTTGACTCGAAGTGGTAGGTGATTTAGTTAGGATTGTAATATCGACTGGAAATTAAATCCTCCTTAGAATGTTCTGGATAAAATACACGTATTGCTCGATCGACCTTAGCTCTGTTGCTGTGGTAATAATGGGTTGGAATTTGAATTCATGTATTTGTGTTTGGTAATTCCAGGTGGATGTGGGCTTCAGGTTATCTTTAATCCCGTTTTTTTCCACGTATAAAAAATTCGAGGTTGCTGCTGGAGCAGAGATTTGATGAAGAAGGCTGTCGCCAATAATCAGTAACGCCTACGTTTGTGGAGATCTCTGGCTAAGGACCCCAGAATCTCGAC